AGCAGAAAGCAATACGAAAGTTTATCATATAGTATTAATGTATTGCGAATGAAAATATTTTCGATATTTCTATTGCTATAAGTTTGCTCCGAGGTAGATAAAAAATCGTATCAAATTCTTCAATAAAAGCCTGATAGTGTATGGTGATGACCTCCCGCCCTTGAAACTCTAGCACTCAGCTGTTAGTGAAATAGTTATAGAGTGATGAACTTGAATCGCTGTTCCAATTGCAACATGTAACAGACATCACATATGCCCCCCTCCCTGATAACATACTAAAAGTAAAAAGTCTAAATTGAATATAAGTATATAACAATATTTTCCGTCAGCGCCGTTAATTTCCCAACAGATTTTGCATCAGCAGCTGTTTGAATTTATTATGGAAAATGGGTGATTCATATGTTTAGATAGATGATAACACATCAGCTATTAACAGTTTCGAATTTCGTGTTTTCCATTAGATAATTTAAGAAAAACGTTAAGTACATGTGGATATTCTGAACCGTGCAAATATTTGAATGAATTAAAACATCACGGCAAACCTCTGGGACTAAATGTCTACACTAAACCTGCAAGCTTGAAGATTGTACCAAAGGCACACATGTGAAAAGCATTTTGTATAACGAATGAATCAGGCTGTCATGATGCTAATGTTTATGGTTACTTCTCAGAGGATTTGTGTTCTAATTTGTTTCAAAATTTTGATTTGATTCTCAAAATGATTAAAAGTTTGGTCTATGTAAAGGTATTATGTCCAGCCAAATTTCACTTTAGGAACACATACATGCACTTTTTTCAGTGATCGCCGTGTTAATATTCATTTTGTTTTCTGAATATAAGTTTGGATTATGGTTCTGATTTTGCACAAATCTGATCCCAATCATAATCTGCCTAGAGAAACAAAATTTCGTGATTGTCAGTAAACTGTGCGAGGTGTATGATATTATACATGAATATCGTGCTCTTAAACTGTCGTTAGACTTCATCACATAAACTTTCTCCCCTGGGCTTACATTCAACTCGAAGCCAAACCTATCAAGAAGGACAAAACGTTCGTGGGGAAAGAGGACAAAAGGTAAAGATATCTCTTTTAATAGCTTTACGCCTCTCTGAGGGTACTTGATGCTACATGTACATTTTTGCTGTATATATCATTACATAAGAGAGGAAGTACTTTTCGTTAACAAAATATTGATTTTTATATAAAATCTCAAATACGTTCACTAAATATAGATTCACATAAGAGAAACCCTTCTCATAATGCTGCACAATCATTTGGATTGTAACAAGTATATTTAAGTAAATAGAATCATCAATTCCTTGCTATTATACACAACATGTAGAGAAATATCTAAAGTTTGCAGGATTTGTTCATATAACATCCCTAAAACGTATGTGTGTAACGTTTTGTTCAACAAGAAAGTTTAATCAAACATATTGTTTTCGGTACGCAAGTATCTTAAGGAGCGTTGGTGCATTTCTTTGAACCAAGGAGTTCTTTAAATGACAGTTACGGTAGATGGTACTCGGGCCAAGCAGATGTTAGTACCAACAGCTCACAGGGCCTAAGCTTTATACGGTGTCCACGATGAGGTGAGTCACCAAAGTTCTCTACAAGAACTTAAATGTTCATTATGAGTACCCAGAGAAGCAACAAAGCGACCAGGGTCGTGACTCCGAAACCAAGATGTTAAAGAAACCTTGTAAGTTCGCAGGGGTTAAGAAACCTAGAACAATTCTATACCACCCCTTGGGAAAATCGTTTTACAGAGAGGTTCAATCATACTCTCCTTGACATGCTTGCCACAGTTGTAGATGAAAAAAGTGGATTGGAAGTCGTATGTCCCATCCATGGTTCCTCCACGTCCCCACTTTCTGATGTTTAGTTGGCACATCCGGCTTGCTGTAGATGGCTTTCTAGGTGTTGCTACAGACAGCAAGGGGATGGGGGGAGTATACATACCATGCTGCAGCTAACGAAGTCAATAACAGCCTGACAAAACAAGGCTAGGCATGATACGAAGGTTAGGGAGTGTACCATTGAGTTAGGGTGATCAGATGCTGGTCCAGAAAAGTGGGTTTCCAAGGGAAACACAAACTAGCTGGCAGATGGAAGCATGATCCACATAGGAAGGGAAACAGAGATGATAAGATAACTATCTATAAGATGCGAAGTGAGAAGGGAACTGGTCCCCTTCGTACACTGCTCCGGAATATGTTGTTTCCATTTACGACACCGCCCATTGATGAAGTAGAGGAGCAGACGAGTAACAAAGCCCTCACAGCTCCTGTTAGTCGATCCAAAAAATAAACAAGCCAAGTACCCATACTGTCTCTGATTCATATTTGAGCAGTACTAGTTCATTTGTTAGTTGTAGTGAGCGATATATTATTCCCCATGTCTGATTTCCCCTCTAAACGGCCCTAGAGCTTATAAAAAAAAAAAAAAAAAACAGAAGCTCAAGGCCAGTTAACAGAGTTGCTGATGAATTCAGAACTGCCTCTGCAGTATCCCTTAGGGATGATCATGGTTCTGAGCTTGGTTGGGTTGTGGAGTCTCCTAGGGGTCCGGAGTGGAAAGTACGTCCAGAAAAAACCTTTAAAATCCCGGACAGAGAGTGGGTTATGTCACAGCTCATTAATGAGGGACCTAGGGTGGAATTTTTGTGTAAGATACTATTCAGGAAATTTTGATTATTTTTGATACTTTAAATGTGGAGTTTCATTCACAGATTGTATGGTGTTGACTACCCGGTACATCCCTAATGTGGGGATAATGCCTGTTAAGTTGGTGAAGCCATAGAAGCTGTTGTTATATCAGGGATTACAATCAAAGGTTGTCCTGTACAATCTTTTAAGCTTGGAGTGGTCACCCAGGAGTCCCTACAGTGCTTATGGTTATATGTATATATTTAGTATATCTGTTTACGTGTATGTATTCTGTTTACGTGTATGTGAAGTAACTGTGCATGCATGGGGTATTGTTTACATGACTGTATATGTCCTCTGGAATGTATGGTATGTAGCAGAACTGGTCCGACGTGACATTGACAACAACAGGAATGCAACTCTGCAATTTAACACCTCGCATCACATGCTTATTGCGTTCCCACACCTGTTTATGTCACGATTCCCTTATATCGTAAAGAATTCCGTCGCCATTCAGAAGCCTGGTAGGTTGACAATGTCGAGTGTAAGGTTGCGTATCATTTGCATTCGCGACAGGTCGAGTCCGTTTCGGAAGTTATTGCAAGTATGTATATTTGTTTTTGTAGTTTTTTTCTTTCGTAAATAGGATGCTAATAAAGACACCTGAACCTAAATTTTGCCAAGTGTGAGTTACTTCGCCCCGGTGACAACACCCTTGTTGCAACATCCGTGACGAACGTGACGTAAATGTTTGAAAAGTAACGGTCTCACAACGTGGCTTACACACTGTGGACGTTGTGAACAAATGTGACGTTTTCCGATTGTGCTGTATCCGTTCATATAGGTGAATACCAGTTTCTAACATCGGGTTTGCCGATTTGATAGTCTCCATTCATTTCATCTCATTTTGTTTACCTTTTCGATATCGTTGTTGTTTTTATTCTCGAGATTCCAGATCAACTGGTTATTAATTAGTTTTGACCCGGAATTTCAAATATTCAGTCAGAGATATTAATATATACATATATGTATGTATATATACACAATTGACTTGAATAGCATCAGTCACAGCTTGTTGCTCTTGTCAGTGCCTTCGTTTTTCATTTAACTTGTTCTAACCGCTCGTTCTTGTCTTTATTAAGGACATATTGCAATATGGCGTATTGCAATGGGTTTGAAAATGCCATTTGGGAAAACAGAATTGATGCAGATGTATGCGGCTCTCAGTGGAAAAAACTAGGATCTTGGTTTATAGGGACGTCAGGTGAAAATGAGAGGGAATTTCTTGAATTAGCTTTGAATACACTTCAACAAAATATCAAACCACGAAAATACATTCCAGAAGATCCATTACTTATTACCCCTGAGGTGAAATCTTCAGCAATTTATAGAGATGAAATGGCTAAACTGAAGGTGGAACTGAAGTTTCTGAATGAGACATTGGCTGAATCCATTCCGTACTCCAGTGTCCGGTACCAGGTAAAATTAACGTCAACTTAAACGGTCAAAGAAAATAAGAAACAATCATTTAAGTTAAACATTAAGTACGAAATATAAATATTATGAGAAATTAAAAGTTATATGACCATAATATGACAATTATTTCCTCCATTAAATGTCAAGGCGCAATTTCAATCAAGAAATGTATTGTAAATATCCTTTTAAATTACCATGAATCATACGAATTTGTGGTTTCATAATAAGCCTACTACAGGCACTTGGTCAGTACATATGAGATATGGGAAGGCTTAAATGACACATTTATGACAGTTCGAATGGAAACAAATCTGGTATCTTTTTTATCACTTGATCGATTTTTCGGACAAGTGTTGTGGATGTCAAACTTGAAGTCATATCTATCTGATCTTTCTTCTAGAGTTTTTATTGTTACGAATCATTGTTATCTGTGGATGTGTTACGTCAGTTAATTATCTTACGTGTTGTCACAATAAGCTATATGACTCATCAATGAATTCTGAATTTTATTTTTTGAGGGTGCCGAGCGCTACATAAATCATGAGTTTTCCATATATTAACAGGGTCATATGGTCTCTAAAACAACGATACCAGCCAAATTAGGATTTCTGTCTGCCTGGATGACAAATGCAAACAATGCGTGTGGAGAGAGTGGTCCAGTGACGATACAACTGGAAAAGGAGGTTGGGAAACAATTGTGTGACTTGATTGGCTTTGACGTGTCACAAGGTCCAAGAGGATATATCACAAGTGGTGGATCGTCTGCCAATATTGAAGCTTTATGGGCATCCAGAAATGTAAAGTTCTTCCCTTTGGCAGTCCAAAAAGCTATTCGGGAAGAACCAACTTTAGCAGATGTAAAGGATCTAAGGGTGTATATTCCCAGATTGGATAGAAAACAGAAGTTGATATCCTGCTCAACATGGGATCTTCTGAACCTTAAACTTGATGACGTCATATATTTACCACAAGAAATTGAGCGTCTGACAAGCAAAGACCACACTTATTTTCAAGGTGATATAAACAAGTAAGGACTTTTTTCTTTGCTACGATAAATCATATGTTGTAGGTCAGTTGTTGTTTTGCATTTCCCAATGTCATATAAAGACGGGAATCAAGAACGATTCAGCCGCTTGTTGTAGTGCATTACATGTACTGATATGTTGATAGAAATGTAATTATGACGTAACATCCTCAAAAACCAAGATCATTATGAGAAATGTGTCGACAGATATATGTCATTCCACGAAGATATTATAACCTGGAGACAGTAACACCACATGGCTGGTCCTGCTATTATTTTTATTAAAGTATTTTTATCGACGTTGTTTTGAAATAATCTCCCTTGTGCAACGAATTCAATATTCGAACTTAATTCAAGGTACAGTATGGCTTACAAAGGATTTGTCGAGTTCTTCCGACTGCACGACTTGATCCATTATAATTCGGAGAGTTTGTGTGAAGTACCAGAAATGTGGTGGTAATGTCTCTAATAACGTATTTATTAGGTTGTGACCACCGCCGGTGCATAGAGCTTGTATATCGTCTAATGATGTTAGCTGGGATGGCGTTTCCCTTCTCGCCAGTTCCTGTAAGTTGGAGGCCGTACTCATTTTCCTAGGACATCCCAGTTGTGGATCTTCTATCGCGATACCGCATTGTTTTTAAATTGCCTTTTACAATGACTTAATCAAGTTCGATATGCCGCCCAAGATCACCATTCTACCCCCCAACAAGCGTCTGGGAAGAATTCTTTCTGTTGTCGCCATACTAGCTTTGTCCCATCTTCGTACATCAAACAAACCCTACTTATCAGTGAAAAAGTGTTCCACATCTGGAAGGGCCATCGTCATTGTCGCCGAGGCTAGTCAAGGTTGGTGCGACGTCGTCGCCTAAAGACGGTTCATGCGTAAGGCCTCCTCGCACACATTCCATGGCGTTTCAGCCTGTTATGGATGGTCAAGTTGTCTACCCATCGACCATGCAAATTCTTAGACAGTCGGATGCTGAAGCAGTTGCAGTAAAATTTTGCCATAAATGACAAACATTCTTACAACCTTGAGTTGCATTGGGCCAGTTTGGAGCATAATAATAGCCATTTCGCTATCATTTCAACAGAATCATATGGCAGTCATAAGAAATATAAAATTTTCTAAAAAACTCAAATGATTAATGAACGACTATATAATTTCATTTCAGCTCTGCGGAAACGTCTAGAAGAATGTTTAGTGAAGAAGGTCCCGATTATTGCCTTGATCTGTGTAATCGGCACGACAGAGCACGGAGCTGTGGATCCTGTTGAAGAGATTCTGAAATTGAGAGCAGAGTATAGGAAAAAAGTAACATGAATTACTATGAAAAATATTAATATTATGAATTATCTCATTGACAAATTAATAACGAAGAGAGAACTTGTGAAATTGTTTGGATGCGGGATTTTTTGCTAGTTTTCTGTTTTTAAAATAACAATTCCAATCAACGTGTTTCAAGGCCTAAATTTCTACCTGTTAGCTGATGGAGCCTGGGGTGGTTATTTCGCGACCCTGATGAGAAAGCCAGAGGAGAAAGACCACTTGTTGCCAGCCTTTCCTATCAGTAATTACGTCTGCAAACAGATATCCTGCTTAAAGGATGTAGATACAGTAACCATTGATCCTCACAAGACAGGATATTGTCCCTATCCGGCTGGAGGTATTTGTTACCGGTAAGATATAATATACCATGTTACATGATCTATGGAATTTGTTAAAATACGGTCGCAATTTACATACGTCACTGAAACAGTATATGAGTAATTGTTATCTTTCTCCTTGTTCATAAGAGCACGAGATTTTTTCGTTATTCAAAGCGAAATTCCGTATAACAAAACTATCCGTGTAGCATCGGTTGGGCTATCGTCCCCAAATTGTCCTACCTAACAATAAGTGACTGTGTGCTCCTTTCTTATGATTGCAAGGTATCAACATATATGTATGTTTGCACATGCGATGTGCGCACGGATTTTGTTTTAACTAAGTGTTTGCCAAGGGCACTGTCTCGTATTGTAACTGAATGAGTAAAAGCACTCTTTGAAAGGCATATTTCCCTTAGAACAATACTGAGCTAGACCACCCTCCGAGTGCGCGTGTTTGTACGAAATGTTATTGTAAACTTCCGAATGATAGAGCGGAACTTAAACCTGTTTCATACAGCAATTAAACTAAAGTATACTGTCGAAGGCCTCCAGCAGGACTCCCCACTCGGTTACATACTGACAACGGGTAAACCAGTCATTACCAGAAATAGTAGCGATAATTTTAAGGGAGTCATGGATGACACGGTCAATGGACAGAGCCTCATTAAATGCGAACTAATGGCCAAAACGTGAGACGGTATCAAGGGAGACATTCGTGAAAACGACCGTTTAGAAAGAATGATTATGCATTGAAACATAGGTGCAGTTCACAACCTACGAACAGAATGATTTAAGAGAGTATTTACATATGAGAGATATATCAACATGGCTGATTTGCAACTGAAGTTCGGTCTCCTTCTCTTATGACTTCATCTAAAATACCAAAACATCCATACTTTGTTGTCTCCTTTATTAAATCGTGCATGAAAATGACGGTTAATCGCTATAGAGTTAAACGACATGAATATCAATATCATTGAAAAGTGAAATTAAGAATAAACCTATGTACAAAAAATTGTTTCTCTGAAGGAACGGACAAATGAAGTCAGCCTTGGCTTTTGCTACTGATATGCTGCATGGCACGGGTTATACGGATAGTAATTGTTATGGACTCGAGACTTCGAAACCAGGGGCAGCGGCGGCTGGTGTCTACCTGGCTCACAAGGTAATTTATGGCGGGCTTTAAACTATGTTAACTGAATAAATATAAAACTCGTGCTAAACCTAACATACAAACATGCCAGAAAATCAAAAGCTGAAGATAACGTTATACGATATCATTTCAATAAATGCTTTTGTAAGTTTTCATCAATCAAATCTTTATAATTAATATTGTTGTTCTGTAACCATCCACAATATTATCCCCATTGAGCAGAAACACGATATCGTAATAGCGCTATCCATGTGGTAAACTCTGCGCAAAAGTTTCCGTCTGGTAAAATATTGCAGCACCTAGTACAATTCTGGAAGCGTACTTTACAGGGAGTTTTTTATTCCGCAAAGGAATTAAAAAGCCGGAAGGACTTAATGTCTTTTAAATAGTATAGGTGGTCAATCTGTGCTACCTTATACTGTATAAAATGCCTGCACAATACGACGTTTTGAGTTGAAATGAGTTTACGCCATTCATTCGCTTATCCATTTTTTATCCTTGATATTGAAAGACTAACTTTCGCGCTTTAAGTTTGCCAATCCTTTATGCGCCCTAAGGGTACAAAATAGTACACAATGTCTTGTCCATTAGGTCACCTTACTATTTGAGCATTATTCAAGAACTTGGCACGTTCTTGATATATCAGGAAATGTACGTGTGAAATATTATAGCACAAAAATTATTTAATTACAAGCACAACGAATGCTTTAACAACAGCAATGCTATTTGCGATGCTGAAACCACTGGCTTATCTGTTTCTGCATTCAAATCAATTTTACCAGTTACATTTACTGACCCACTTACAACTGGTTAAATTTATGGACACCAGAAGTGCAATATGTACGGCTCAAATTTGTTTTGTTTTGAATGTGTAGTTAAATCACAGCTAGATTTAATACAAACACGTATAACAACGGACTACATGCTGTAAGAGATCAGTCTACTTGCGTGGTAATTTAATGAATTTTGGAAATTCGTTTCTCTTTTTTAAATAAATACAACATACTATTCCTTCATATTACTGACCACTAGCGGAAGAGGTCATGAACAGCTATTTTTTGAACAATTTGATACTTCAGACTGTCCAGCAAAGTTATGTTCCTGAATGATTTGTTGAATAATATTACTTATAACATTGGCTCTGGAAAATCTTAATTTAACTATAACAGTGTTGTATTTATTTCAATTTTTGAGAAATGATGTGCCTAGTTGTGTCTTAGATATGAATTTATATTCTACAGCTGAGTTATATTAATAGAACACACAATTAGACAAAGAGTTACATTTAAACTGGCACCATTAAAAGACAAGTAAAAGTTTCTACCCCATTCCAGGAAATTGAACTATATAATAGAAATAAATATTCTCTTTCCTTGCATCAAATAAAACCAGAACAATAACAACTTTGCAGTTTGGTTTTACAATTTGCAAATGGTAAAAAATATAACAATGAAAATATAAGATAAAATATAGATATAATATTCAATAATATATATAAAAAAAAAAACTAAATATGCAATATAGGTTTAGGTCTACTGCATCATGCCCCAATCTAGATTTTGTTCTCTTAGCAATACTGACGAGTGAGATGTTGATGCAGTTTTAATCCAAATTTAGCTTAATTGTATCTAAAACTGGGTTTTTGAATTATTCCAATAAATTAAATATCGCGGTTGTGTTTGAGTGAGAGTCATTATCGAACTTACAATGAAAAAATACGAAAAGAAGGTATATGACTTTCGGTCGTGTTACCCACCACCTACAATCTAAGCGCTCCCAACCCCTTCTCTAAACAAACATTTAATGTACTAAATAACTAGCAATAGTATGATGGAAAATGTTTGCAGGTGATCGGTCTGCACAGTTCTGGATATGGACGAATTCTAGGACAGTCAATCCTCGGCGCCAAACTGTTCTACTGCGCATGGCTAACAGCAGCCAATCCTGATGACGAATTTGTTTGTGTTCCTTTGATCCCGATTCCGGAGGCTTATGATGAGGAAAAAGCGATGAAATTTATCCGTAAAAGAATTCTACATTCATCTTATGAGGATATAGTTCTGGTATGTGTAATGCTGATTACTAGTGTAGTTTTGAAATGGTATCATGAGATAAGTTAACGGAGATCAAGAGTGAAATTCAGAGTTATTGGTTGGGAGAAGAAGATTCTATCCCGTCGCAATAGTCATGGTCATATAGACAGCGCATGTGGATAACAGGTGTTCTAAATTATTCATAGTGCGAACTCACTGTAATGACATGTAAATGGTGTTAATATATCCTACGTTCTAAGTAACATGACTGTTATTTTGTATGATATTGAAATAGTTTATTTTGTTTAACGCCAGGATATCGAGGCGATGGATTTCCTTTCGGAGATAGGTCCTGATTTATTCGTCAATGCCTTCGCTGTTAATGTCAAGGGTAACGCGTGTGTCGTCAAATGTAACCGTCTAAACATGGCCGTATTCAACAGACTGTCACACACAGATCCCAAACAAAGAAGTGTTTGTGACGTGCCACTGTTCCTGACAAAATCGAGACTTTCCCAGAAAGAATGTAGCACGATATTGGGAAATTTTAAAGAACGTCTTGGGGTATGTTTTAGGGATTTAAAAATAGTTATTTCGAAAAGATTTATTTTTCTGTCCTGAGATTCAAGGTATAGCTAAAACAATGTTTAAGAGATAAAAAAAAAATGGCACAATATGATGTTTCAGGCAAGTGATCATGAAAGTTTGTGTGCGAATCTTCTGATTTGGTTTACTAGATGGATATCAAGAATTTACGTAATAAATTAGCACGGAAAGCTCTTCTGTGATGGATATGATTGTATTTGTTTTCTCCAAGGTATCAAAAGAAACAGCGGACGTTCTTGTCTTCCTAAAGAACACGGTTATGAACCCCTGGACGGCGGCTGACCAGACAATTCAGATGCTGGTGCGACATTTCCGACAAGTGGTCACTCAATGCATCGCAGAGGTAATGGATATACTGATTTCAATACTTTATTCTCAAATTTAATACTCATTTGAATTAATAATACATCAGTTCTCTATTTTCTGAATTTCCACATCTGTTGTTCAATGACTAAGATTTGTTCAGGGTCGAATTCATGTTTATTCATTACATTACACATTACTGTTATTGCTACATTTAAATTTAAATGTAATTTTTATTTTTATGACTTTCAAGCAGTAATTCGTAAGCAGTTTGCAGCAGATGAATTAGATATTGATATTAGATTTACTCTAAAGATGGTATCACTTATTTATTACAAGCTTAAGTGTAACTTACAACCCCAGAAACTTTCAAATCGTCGGAAATTTTCATATGCTAACTGTTGACGTTTTACAAATGCATTCTTTTTCAGATTAACCAGACGGAATAAAATCAACAAATGACGAAAAGCAAGCTGAGAAATGCTTTCATCGGAAATATACAATGATGTATACATACCGAATGTTTACGTTTGTTTAATAATATGTTCAATCTTATATTTTAACATTCAGTTCATGTATATCTCATTCTATGAAATTCTTCTTGCAGTGCAATGTATTTACGTTGACTGGCTCACCATTCCAGATGAGGCATGGTAGTTTTAAGTGTTGTCCTCTGGAACCGGAAACTCCACTTTTAATCATATTAAACAACTATTTAAATGACATATCCCGCTAGTATTATGATTCCGTCATGTCATGAAGCAAGGCAGACACAAGATTGTGTTTTGTGATTTATTTGCTCAAATACCATTGTGTCCATATTTTTCAACGATTTTGTGCCATTTGCCATCTGTTGTATATATAGCCTACGTAACCAGATCAGTTTTTCAAGTGCAAATAAAAAATATTGTGCTTAAATTTAAGCCCCCCACCCCCTCGTTCACGATTATTCTTCATAATGCTACCTCTTTATATTTTATCTGATCAAATAAAAAATACAAAAACGAGTTTTAAAAGGTTCTGTATTTAGTTTTCTGATAGCGGATTCGTCTGAATTTCTTACGAATATGCAAAGGTGATTGCATATGAGAAGGGACTTTAAAATGTGTATTCTTCCAAATCATTAGACATTTTTTTTCATCATATTTTAGTTTGACAATTTGGTTTATTTAGTTATACCCCACTAAATATTCCACTCTAAAGAATATGTATCATAACTATCTTTTACTGCCGTTCCAAACAACTCATATTTTGCCTTGATTTACTTTTAGACCAAGACATTTTGCAATTTTTCAATGGATCATATGACTCTGTAACGATATCTTCCACCATCTAAAATAACTGACGCATCATCTGAGTACTATGATAATGGAGTAAGAACATTATCTTGGTTTATCCCATTTATATTCTTATATCCAATATAGAAAATCAAGTAAAAAATTTAGAAAAAAACTGCCTTGATTTGTCTTTCTTAGGCATACGTATACAATTAATAATTTACCATTAAAGAATCCATAAAAAATACCATAAAGTTACTTAAATTACACCAAAAACATTTTAAAAATCAGAAGTGAAATCATCTGATAAAATCATTATTTATATTTCTGAAAGTATAAGAAGATATATCAATTTGAAATTACCCATTCTATCAATAAATATTGTGTCTAATTAGGTTTTGGAATATTACCACTATTGCTATCTAGGAAAGTGTCAAGATTTATATGTTTAATATTACTGTCACTTGAATGCAATATAATGTCTATAAAATTCTCTAAATATTTGAAATATATGAACATTTAATAAGAATTGCAGACCAGCTACTTTTGTCCATTTTCATTAACGACAAAATACAGTATATATTTCAGACAATGACCTTCTTTTCTCTACTTTCCCAGTTTGGTCATGCGCCTCTTAACTGAGGAAGTCCGAAACCCAAATTTATACACTTCTAGACGTTCTTCATTCAAGGACGATCAAGACGGTTATGTTTTTTTATGAACAGGATAATTTGAGTAAGTTTGAACAATTTTAGATTGGATTAAATGTGCAGTGAAGCCTAACATTAATACAATTTCTGAAGAGTTCGACAATTGGACCGAATCGATCTTACAGAGTTATAGCCCTTTGCAATTTTATTACCATTGGACCTTGTGAACATAGCTGGAGCTGAATGGATATTGATTAAACTGGATATGTTGTGAACGTATTTCAATATGATTTTGCAGTTTTATATTTTAAATTAAGCCAGTTTGATTAGAAACTTCACAGCATGATGGCCCATTGGTAAAAATCGTTTTTTAATGAAATATGATAGATGTACATATAGGGCACTCTGTCGCAATAAACAAAAAAATTGTGAGAACATCACAAAACAAGACTATTAAATGACAAATCATGTCAGAAATTGTAGGTAAATCATGTATAGATATACCTTAAGCAGTGCAATGTAAGACATTGATTTCAGCAACTTTTCAGAAAATTTTTAATCAGTACAAACGGTGTTAACAGATTAGAGCCATTTCTAAAGAACTTACACTGTGCAATAATGTAGTTCAGTCAAGGTATGTCTGATGAACGTGTAGTACCGCCATTGTCCTGTTGTTTCGTTAAATTGCTCATTTTATTCCTTGCAAAAGCAAACGCTATAGAAAAAGGGCATCCACGGATGATAGGACCAACTAATTGCCAATTTAAGATTCCTACAGAGGAAGGCTGTCGCTGGTCAACACGACATACTCTCCTATCACACTATACTGTTAGCAGACTAACTGGTATTTACCTTCATCCAGTGATCATTTAAGGTCATTAGGGAAACCAACCAGTGAAAGACACAACGAGGTAAAAGATAAAGGCTAAAAATCTTAAAATGTTATATTATCACAAAAGAGTAAAATGGTAGGTCATATCCTGTAATATAGACCAACATCTTTCAAACACATAGAATTTTATGAATCTCAACTGTTTCAAAAAGGGTATGCAGACTTGAACGTTAAGGTCAATGCAGTCTAACAAAAATGTGTAACGGTGAATGGCTCGCCACATTCTATACACCGAGGATTATCTCCGCCTTTCAACATTGCAGATTCATGTGATTTTGTCAACGATTCTCGAAGTTCTGACATTGAGAAAGGTTGATTTGTTTTTGGAAAAGAATTTTCTCCAGTAGTCAAATTTAAAAATGTTTTGGAATTACTATTTGCAGATGAAGTTTTGAGAAAAGCAGATCCTAATGCATTTGCAATATCAAATTTCGATGTGGCTAATTTTCCATTTGTTTTTGGATGTCCTGTTTGTTTGAATGATGTTTTTCCCTGATTTGTTTAATATCATTATATACATTTATGGTGGATGTATTGAATGTAAGTCACGCACACAGCAGTAAGAAATATTTCAAAAGATAAATCCTTTATCTCTTAAAAATAAATGAAGTTTACTCATGTAGTTGGAGGATAAAAAGTAAAGCCAAACGTAATGGCGAGTTAAACGATCATTAATGAAAGCGAGCATTTAGTGTGTTTGGTATGTTTGTAAATATCTGTATATTTTTGGCATCAATTTGGTTAAATGGTAATGATGTTTGCGATAGGGTTTGATAGGAGAGATGGATGAGTGAGTGTAAACGAATGAATAATGAATATGAGTACAGGCTCAGGCATCATTACAACTCTACGAAGGCTACAGAAAACCAGTCAGATGGTAACCAACATTTATTTTACAGATTTTGAGGATATAAAGAGAGCCTGATCTATACAGGTAAGTCGACGGATAGTGTGTAACATTTTAATATTGCTCATACAAAAGTACAAAAAAAAGTTTGATGAGTACACGCCGCAGATCTAACATTAAACGAAAGACACAAACGTAAACAACACTTTAATTACATAAGAAGTGAGTAACAGTAAACCAAACGATGAATGAACCAGGACTCGTCAGAGATGCTAAGGGTCTCATTTACTATGAAATTGGTTTGACCTACATTGTGTATTCAAGCGGTTCTTGCCCTGGGTGAAACAGAAGACGCATTTCTTCTGTATATGTTCCATGTGTTTGTTAATGCCATGTGACCAGTGAAGGAAAGAAATATATTAAACTCGGTCATATCGCACGATAAGAAGTGAAGTTGTTTTAGACAAGGGATTATGACTTTTTTTTTGTTTTATTACAAGAGACGCACTAGAATGACACTTTTGTAAGTCAGATGAGTGACACATGAAATGGAATAATTGATGCTTGTAATAACGACAGTGGTTATCAGGTTGAGCAATATTCATTAGTATTAAAATGATAAAAAATGTGATAAATTCTGATGGTCATGATGGTCGGTTTTTACATGTCAATTTTGATATTGATAGTTTAAATGTTTTTAATATTTAAGCGCCAAATGTTCTAAATGACAGATTTGACTTTTTTTTCATTTTGTAATCTTCAAGTTGAGTAATATGGACGGTAATATCATGTTGGGTGGATATTTTGATACCACTCTTAGTCCCTTAGACAGAGGTGGGTCATCGATTGGTTGTTGATAAATGTGTTGGAAAGTTGAATGATATGATGAATTTATTTAATTTAACTGATGTATGGAGAAGAAGAAATAAGGGTTCTTCTGCTTTTTTTCTCAAAGAAATCAGAAACGGCAATTTGCGTCAAAGTAGAATTAATTACCAAGTTGTATCCAAAACGTGTTCTATAATGACACTTTTATGAGCGACCGTGCGTTTGTTTCACTGAAAATTGATTTAGATAACGTAGAGAAAGGTCCAGGGTTATGGAATCTTAACTTTTTATTGGAAGCGGGGTTTGTGTCTAAAATTACAAGATTATATCTGATAGAAAACGGAATGAAATTTATTACATCTACCCTTTGTTTTTTGTGGGGCAATCTAAAATATGAAAATGTGAAAGTTCCATAACTTTATTGTAAAAGTAGAATGAAGAGATTTAATTGAAGTGGTAAAGTTAAGTCATTTAAAAACCTTTTACAGTTTTGGTCCCGGAGAAATTTGACTGTAAACGGAAGAGCTAGTTATCTCATCTTTGTTTTTGTCTAAATGTAGGTACGTACTTGCTGTTACTAGTATACCCAATGGTGTGAAAAATGATTTTAAAAAGTTGTGTATTGGTTTTCTATGGAATAATAAATTTCGTCTTGTATCGTATAAAACTATTATCGGTGATAAGCGTGACGGTGGATTACAGTTTCCTGGTATGGATCTAAAGCTAAAAGCTTTTAAAATGAAACTTGAATTCTGTTTACTATATGTTTATGAAACGTCATACACGTTGTGGAAGGATACGTGTTATTATTTTTTGTCTAGTGTAGGTGACATGAACATTGGGATTTTGTGTTTTCATTGTAAGTATACTTTTCGCCAGCTGGCGAGCTTACCCCAATTTTATCAAGAAACGTTAACAGCTTGGTCAAATTGTTATGAGTTTTTAGAATTCAACT